AATGGATCTCAAAATTAAACTTTGTGCTCTTTTGCTAAAATACAGTTATGATGATGTAAAAGCTCTGTAAGCTTCTCTGTTAGCTCCTCAGTACCTGGAATGTAACAGCAAACATAAGGCTTACAGAAATAAGTGGAAGGTTCAGTGCTGATTATATTTCAATGGGTGCATGTAAGTGTGCAAGTGCAATGTTGTAAAAAATTAGGAAAATGAGGACATTAAACAATAATTGCAAATATTAACGCAAGCTTATAGAATAGGAAAAGCCGTGATTATACTCAGGCAGAGAAAAAGTCTGTCTGAATCAAAAAGAAAATGCAGAATTGTTTTTCTAGATTATAAAGATGCCCTCAAAGAATACAGGGGCAAAATGACAGGCTATCTTTATATTTTGCTTAGGTTAAGGATTAAAAAAAAAGCATGTTCAGCTCCAGTAGTCAGCACCTGGTTTAAAAGTTAGCAAAGAAGTAGGTAACTTGATGGCATATTAAAATGCAATGCATAAATTCATCTATTATTTGTAACCACGGCTCTTGATAATTTTGAATGATAACTCTCTGCTGAAATTTTAGGAAATGGTACTAGAGGTGAATAAGTGAATATCAGGGCAGAGACCTTAATGTTGTGATGGTATTGAAGTACAGACTGGAGAAGGTAGAAATAGTGTTATAAGGGAAAGCAACAGCTCAGAGATGATAGCAGTGCTCTTACGCCTGAGTCAGTCTGTGGCTTTCTGGTAGATGTACTGGAATGTACTCTGTAGGGCTGCTTTCAAAGGTACAAAGATGAGAGGAGTAAGAGTGAGAGAAAGGTACTCATCAGTGACCTGAGCTCATTGGACATTGACCTGGCTGTTGTGCAAGCTGACAACAAAGGTGTTTTGAAAGGCAAAGAGATTGTGGGAGATAAAAGTAATTTACTTGTGCTTTGGTTTACTTCCCCCACCCCCCCACCCCCAACCAGTGTCTTCCTTTCCCATCAGCAATACTTACAACTTTCATGTGTAAATGCATATCTGTCGTGGATATCTGGGCCTGCTTAGATGTTGCTAGCCTTAATTGTGTAGCCAGTTAAGCTTGCCTTTTTATGTGATTTTCCTTGCAGAAAAAACCACTAGCTTCTGGTCTGACAGAGGCATAAAAGCATAAACGTAGAGCCCCATTCAGGTACATACTAGATACACTCAAAGAGCAGATAAAGAAGGAATGTCATGCGGGGAGAGTCTGGTATATAAGAGCTTTCTAATTGCAGAATTTAGGTCTAGTTTAATTATCATAGAGTTGCTTGGCTTGTGGCTGTAATGACATGGTTTTAACTGTTTCTGTAAATTAAGGATAAAGCATTTAAACTGAGAGCAACTGGAAGTTTACCTCTTCATATTTTATATTCTTTGTATGAAAAAGGTGGATATTCTCTGAAGGCGAACTACCACAGCTGTAATTAACTGTGTAATAGAAAACTAACAAGGTTAAAAAAAAAAAAATTATTAAAAAGGATGTAGGCAGAAGATGGCTGTGCACATGTACACACAGCTCTACATTTTTTTCCTAAGGTTAAAAACATTTTGTAACCTTAGAGGAAAGTCACCATTGGAAAATGAGCTACAGTTACATCCAAGTGCAGTTCATCTGTTCAATAAAGACTGAGTTCGGTGACCCATGGAAGTCTGCAAAAGCCTTGCTGCTTGGACCTTGTGGTGCAGAATTTTTGCTGAATAGTCTTTCCAGTACATGGCATGTTATTTTTCTTACAGTTCAGCTGATTGAACAAGTGAGAGTACTGTGCTTATTTGCTTAATTAGTCTTATGTAAATGTATTTTTCATAAAATAATATAATTCTTTATAAACCTTTTGTAACTCTTTATAAACTACTAACGTACTTCTGTTTTATTTTTGTAATATAGTTGATGTTTTTTGGAATCTTTTTGTGCCTGGATGCTTTTCTGTATGTATTCACCCTGCTTCCTTTGAGAGTTTTTCTGGCAATGTTCCGGTTCATCACTTTGCCTTGCTATGGCTTACGGTAAGTTGATTCAAGAGAAAGGTGTTGATACACTTAAATAATGTTTCTCTGTTTATGTGTGTGCTTAATTTTATGGCTTTTCAGTGCCATTTGAACTACTAATGACTTCTTCCACTGAAAGTAGAAGTTTTGGTCTAAACTAGCCCAAGCAAAGGTGTGTGGGACCTTAAAGCTTTGCCACCAGGCACTAACTGTCATCGTTGTTTCCTTCAGACACAACAGTTTGATAACAGCACCACTTAGGCATATTCAGGTTAGTAAAGGACAGAGATGTAACCTTACCCTATAGTTTTGTTCTTTTAACTAACATCTATTTGAACAGTGTTTTGAGATTTCTTAGACTTGAGTTAATGACTTGGTTCATGTCTTTTGATAGACTCTCTGATATTGAAACAAACATTTGATTTTTTCACAAAAACAAAAGTTTTCCTTATTTCCATGGTAAACTTTGCCCAAAGGATCCCTGTGTAAAATTTGTTATTTTCTTTCCTTCAGAGAGTCTTAGAGAGTAATTGGATGGGACTAACTAATCAGAGTAATAGTAAGAAATTTTAGATCTTAACCCCTTGCTTTTTTTTCAGATCAATACTAAGAAGAAGTTGCTAATACATAGGATTTTTGCTTTGCCTTTCTGGTGAAGGCATCAAAAATTGGATAGAATTAATTTCCTTGATAAAAGTTGCTACTTCGTGATAAAGCTGGTTATGTAAGTCTTAAGTGTAGCCTAAAAGAGGAGGAGTATTTGTATTGATGTTGTACTTTTTCCTTGAATAAATAAGGACTTCAGGCTTTTCATTCTGGATTCCCCCAAACTTTTAAGTTAATTTATGGTAGCCGATTTGTTTATTTATTTACTTCTAAAATTGAGTTGCTTGCATTTGCATTATTAATAGTCTTTTATATGTGAAGTGCTTTTAGATTCATAGTTTAGAGTGTATATTCTGATTAGAGCAAATGCTAGTCTAGTTGCATAAGAAATAATAATTTATAGTCTTAAGCTGAAATGTTTACACTTGGGTGATGCTTAACATAGGCACTAGGTGGCAGTCTCTAATATTTTATTGTGCTGCTAATTTTGAGCTGAATCTCAGACTTTCATTATGTTAAAAGTTTTCCTAGCAGTGTAAAAAATATGGCAGCTATTTAGTTTTAACCTGATGACAAGTCAAATTCTATGCCTATTTGTAAATATGGATGGATGCTATTGCTAAAATATTAAAATTAAGGTAAATGTAATGGATTTTAATCTATCATTTGGATCTTACTACTTTTTCCTGTTTTAAAGTGTTCTTCCTTGTCTATAAACTCAGCTTTGCTTTTGACAAACAAATTTGATGCTCTTCTGAAATTACAATTAAAAATTTGAAAGACCAGTTGCTGGTTTGGGGTATTGTTCAATACACTGAAGAAAGCAATGTTGAAAATACCATATACACTCACGTGTGTGTGTATATGTGTGTATATATGTGTACACACACCTGAAATGTTAAAACTTAGTCTGCTTGCTTGACAGTATTTTTAGTATGCAAGGCAGGATAGAATGCAGTTAAATCTTATTAACTTGGCTATGTTAACTTTAAAGTGTTATCAGGTAAGATGCAGTGAAACTGAGATCATCTTGAGTGAAGAAAGCTTTATTTTTGTAACAACTCCTGAAGCAATTTCTTCTGTCAGTTTCCTCAAATGTTTATGGAATTCATTTCCCTAGAATCTCTTTACTTGTTCACTACTTGAGGCTTTGTCTAATTCATTAATGTTTTAAAGTTGGTGGCTTTCTATTGGATGGTTCGCAATTCATGTTTATAGTATGTAATGGAACTTTTTCAGATATAGTGATTCTTATTTCCAAATATTCAGAACGTGTACTTTGCTTTTTGGGATTTTTTGTTGTTGTTGTTGTTGTTCTAGTTATGCTGATTTGATTTGTTATGGGGAAAAAAAAATTTGGGATATTCTTCTAGCTCAGGAAATACATTTTTATGTGTTTGTAACAAAATAGAGTTCAATAGGTAAAACACATCTGTAATTATAAAAGGTACTTATAAAGCAGGTGGCTGTTTATCTTTTAGCTTGCTCTTCCTCACAAATGTCAAGTAAGTGTTGAGAGACATGACTAGTTGTTATTTGAACCTGCCACATCATATTCCATTCTGTGTAGTAAATAAAAGTGCTCCTCCCTTCATCTTGACTTTTTTCTCAACATCTCAGTGAAGTGATTGAGCAGTGAGTGTTCTGTCTCCCTCCCAGTTTACTCCAGTTCCATCTATTTCATCACAACTCTTTCTGCTCTTCTCAGTGTAGAAAAAGTTTATATTACCCATTATTTCTTTAAAACAATAAAACCACATCTTATGTAAGATCGGCTAATTCCTGTCTATGGTATTGTGTGCAGTGCTTAAATGTAGGGGGAGTGCTTTATAGCCTGTTCCACACGTTTTAATATTCCGGTTTACAGAGCTCTGAAAGGGAACAAAGAGTAACGTATCTTAAGGAAATTTGTTTCTTTTTTCTCCCTAGACAGTGTAAGTGCTTCAGTTTGCTAAGTCGTCATTCCTCATCACTTGATCTTTCCTCTTGAGTAAGTTTAGTTCTGTGTATTTGTCAGAGCTACATTGGTGTTAACATAGCTGTTTTAGAGAGACTCTAAATCTTTGAAAATTTCAGTCCGAAGGATCCAAGATTCTGTCATTAACTAAACTGCTGGTTAAATTGCTACGGTCAAACTGGCAGAGGCTGAATCATCAGATTGTGGTGGTTTTGGCAGGTGCAACTTCATTACTGCTGTGCTCTGTAAATAGTAGGGTGCTCTTAAAAAAATTAACAAACACTTCACAAAATTAAATTACGTCTTCTGAAATTACAAAAAAAAAAAAATCAGCTCTGCTGTATTTTCTTCCAAGTCATGGAAGGAAGTTTCCTAAATTATTCTCTTTGAATGTTACAAATTACTCTCATTTTATTAAAATACTCTTATATTTTAATATAAAGACATGAAAGCACATACTTTGCTGGAACAGCAAATCTAAGGTAGAGAGAGAAGTGGATCTGGTGGAGTTCTGTTCAGAATTACAGTCCTTGATGATGGGTTCCTAAAACTAACTCTACCTGTGGTTGAAACGTACGGTTTCCTTTTACAATTCAGGCACTTTTTTTTTTTATTAATACCTCAGACCCAGAGATTCTGGGCAGATTAATATCTCTGCTTGTTTTGGAGCACTTTTATAGAGCTAACTTTCTGTTTTTCTTGAAAACATGTTGCACACCAGTAAAAGCTCTTGTGGGAATGTGGAAAAGCTCTTCTGTATTATTTGAAAAACACCATGATATGAAAGCTAAAATGGTATGTTAGTGAAACTCTGATGGGACTCCCAGTTTGATTACACTTAAGAGAATTTTACATCTTGTCCACAAAGCAACTACGGACTTGTTATGGAAAGTGAGACTTTTTTTTTTCCCCTCCAAATTCTAGCTTTCTCAAGAAAATACAGTAGTAGATTATGAATTTTCTTATATGTGAAGATTGATTGACAAGATCTTTACATTTCTTCCATGTAGAAATAGATACAGATTATAAATGTGTTCTGTGTTTTTTACTCTGCTCTCTTCTCCCTGAAATAAGTGAATTTAGGTCCTGTCAGCAATAACATCATTAACTTCAGTTGTATTATATGTACCTCTTAAAATTCCCATTGCCCTCCTGTGAAATCATAGATTTATGCTTTTCATTAGGAAATAAATAGAACGGCATTACTTCAAGAAAGAAACTGTAGAAAGAAAGCATCTCAGGAAAAAAACCCCAAACAAACCAAAACAAACAAATATACTGGCATTCTTATTATGGGCATTATTTCTTTGTTCATATTATCAGGTTATTAAATAAATTTGAACCTCTGTTGCACACTTATTCCCAAGCCTATTTTTTTTTTTTTTTTGCTAAGGGCTATAGCTGTTAAATACATAAACTTCCTATTGTCTGGTTAAGTTCATTGAGAAAGTAGTGCACCGGTCCACCAAAATGTGTGGCTTTCTACCAACCAAAGCAAGCCAGGCGCATTCAGTATTTTCTGTAGTAAACTCTCAGATCAAGTACTCCTTTCTCCTTTCCATAACAGTGCATAGTGTAGCAACATTACAACCTTCTCTTTCTTTCTTTCTTGTAAATCAGACCGAAGGGAAGAGCACTTTCACTTCCTTTATAGGATGGAATGTGGTGTCACAGGGATTCCTCCTTGGTGAGTAAATCCTGATTTTCTTTTTCCTTCTATGCTGTCAGCCAAATTCACACATCTACATGTAATCAGTAAAAAGACTGATTACAAATGAATAGTATAGCTAAATTAACCAACATACTTCAAAGGACAGAACATGACTTAGTTGTAATAACCAAGACATGAAATTGATTCAGTGCTGTTTATGGTAGGTATATTTTCATATGTAACTTCGCATCATTGTGGAAGTAGGTTGTGATCTTAATAGATTTGAAACATTTTTTACATAGAGCACCTGTGGACCAGTTCGGCCCAATTTAAAACAGGGTATCTTGGAAAACTATAGCCCCTGCTGTACTTAGTTTATAGTGCCTTAAGCTTTTTTGCATTTATGCTAAGCAATGCTTCAGTCAGGTTCATAGCAATATTTTTGTGTGTATGTTAAGCAGTTTTTTGTAATGTTTAAATTTTGGGGAGTTCTGAAAGTTCATTGCAAGGTGTCTTAGTATTAGACTTGAAGCTTATTCTCTGCATAATAAAATACAGCACTTTAGCATATGTTCATTTACTGACTTCAGTTATAGTTGATTCTGTTGTTAAAAAAAGTAAAAGCTTAATGAAAGCTAATTCTAGTTGTCACTTATTTGAAACCTCATTTTTTTATTTATTTTGAGACAGCTCTCATCGGGGCCTAACAGCAAGGTTGGTTTCGTTTCATTCTTAGCATGGTCTCGTGCTGTGTCGTGTGCATGTAGAGGCTTTTTATTGTTTGAGAAATGAAATGCCATCTAATCTTGGCAAACTCAGCTCTCCGTATCTTAGAATTCTTCATTTGGGACATATTTTTATCAGCACTTAGCCTGTATATCTCACAATTTTACAACAGTGAAGTCCTGCGTACTGTAAGCTGTATCTGTTTTTAAAGTCTCAAACTGGATATTAGATTTGATCAAAGTAGCTTTTCTTCCTGAAGCCAAACTTAATTCCAAACTTGAGCATAATTGTAGGAAAATACTTCCAATAGTTCACTTTGCGCATTTTGAAAATTCTTATGTAGCTGTGTAGCTATATGGGCAAGTATGCCCTTCAGACAAACTTGCTTGGGTTTTGTTTTCCCTGACATCTTTGCTTAGTATGCTAACAGAAAAATATCCCTTTATGTGTTAATCTGATCATTCTTGTTAATGCTTCATATAAGATTAGAAACTTACGATACCACAGTATGTTAATGAAGGATACATTGAAGGATTAAGACTTTGATCAAGAGTAAATACTTACATGTAAAACAAAATCCCACAGTTCAGTTTTCATAAAAGTGTCTGTGATGTAGAAATGGAGAAAGAAAAGATACCTGAACAAAACTTTAACTAGACCACCATTTCAAGAGCTGAAATATATTATTAATTAATATAAACCTCAGTGGTTGTCTAGCTTTTTCAAAGTGTTAATATCAAATAAATAATACAGTTAGGTTTGCTGTAAAATACTTGCTCAAACTTGTAACCTCGGTGCTAAAACACTTTTTCAGTGCATTGTTAGCCAGACAATAAGCCTATATAAATGAAAAGGTTTTTTTAATAGTGTAAAGTACAGTAGCATTTATAGAAATAATACTGTTATCTTTAGAGTTTATAAATATATGCAGATGGTTAAGTTCATTATTAAGCTTAAAATATCCATTATTGCAATGATAGTGTATTCATATCTTTAAGTTACTGTATCTGTGACATCAGTATTGGAAATTTTGTCTGTGCTAACGACAAAGGAGTAATTGTTTAGAGTAATCAGAATTATTTGGATGAGACCGTACTAAAGGAACCAATTGAAAATGCAGTCATCCTGTTGGACATCTTTAAACTGTAAAATTAATCAAGAAAAATGTATTGAATTTCTGTTGGTTTATAAAAACCAAAACCAACAACCAAAAACCAAACAACTGTACAGGGTGACTGGGAAACCAAATCTAATCAGAGTAGTGAAGATTTGAGGAACACCAGAAAGTCTGAAAGACAAAAGTAAAGAAGTCATATGATAGCATATGACAGTCTGTGCAGAGTTAAGTTTAAAATAATCTATGCAGAGTGCTTATGCATCAGATGCTAAAATAATTAAGTACTCAGACAAGTATACTTGTCTACAGATTACTTTGTATACAATGTAGTGAAAACATTATTCATTTTGCGATGACAGTTGCAGATAAGCATACCATAGGTGGCTCTAGTGAGATTTTTAGACTTTTTTATACAGTAAGAACAAATTCCTGCTTGTCCTGGGGTGCATTTTATGTTCCAAATGGTTTAACCACTTTAAATTCAATAAGTAAGGCTTATTAAAACACTTAACACCCGATCTTGGGTTTTTTTGGAAGTCAGTCACTTAAGCAAACTTGTGCATTAGCTGCCTGTGATTTGTAACATATTAAAGCCAAATAGTAGTAAACTGTGATTTATTTTTAATTACGCTCTACTTAATGCTAAGTAACTTTTCATTATACAGCCTTTGGAACAAAAAAGGGATTGGTGGGGTAGATGCCAATACACTGAAAGCCTTCAGCTGTTTTGCTTCTTTAATAACTTAAAGGAAAAATACTGTGAAATCCAACATGCTGTTCAGCTGAAACAGCCACAAACATATATTGGTGGTATGAACATTTGTGTGGTAATGGCCCGTATGAATGATTGAACCTAATGTTTTTCAACCAGTAGATGGAGACAGAACTCTTATCACTGTATGAAATGTGGATCATGGCCTTTTGGGTATGGTATCATACCTTGAAAATGACAGTCAGGTAACTAGTTCCTTAAACTTTGACTTGTCCAAGGAGATTGCTTATGACGAACACTGTTTTTCACACCAAATTTTTCTTCACTGAGTAGCTGTTTTATGTATATCTTGAAATAAGTTTGACTCTTAATTTTGTAACACTTAGAGTGGGTTTTCTTACAAATGTCACAAGTAATCATGAAAAATTCTTAGATTTTTTTTTTTTTGTTCCTAAAATTTATAAAACAAATTTGTGGGTAGCCAGACTATTTGTTTATTCTAATTTGATAGTATTTTAATTTAATTTTATAGTATAGCAAGGTAATTCTTCCTAACTGTTTATAAGGGAAGTTGCTTGGGTTTAGCTTTCTAAGGGGGAAGACATACACAGATCCAGTGGTTTTCTAAACAGAGGAAAGACTTAGATTTGCCTTTTCTAAACGTGTCTCAGGGTGGACAAACCATAAACTGGAAAGTTTGAAGAATGAGTGTTAAAACTTGAGCTTATGAATTGTGTTCAAAAAAGTAATTTTTTCTGTAACAGACCAGTTTTCTGAATTCCTGGTCCTTGGTTGATGTCAGTCTGTGCACTGTATAGATTTTGCTGCTGTTTCACTTTGAACTGCCTCAAACACTATGTGGTAAGCATTGAGCTTGGCGTGCTTCTCCTTTTGCTTATTGACTGGGCTGAAGTAGAAGCACGCTTTGGTGGAATAAGGAGGTATAGTAGTAGGGCTTGCACGTCACTTTCTTATACTAAAATGAATAATAAGCTTGTATATCCCCTTAAGCATGCATTTGTATAATTATATTATTTGGAGACATAAGGGTTTGTTTCAGTGGAGATTTTCTGTCAATTAGTAGACGTAATGGTAAATGTACCCAAAGGCTGAGGAGTTTGAAGATCTTGTTAAGTACATGCTGTAGAATATTGAAGTCCCTGCATGTGTCTTTTCTGTGTTGTCTTAATTTGCTAGTTAGTGTTACAGTTTGAGAGAGTTTATCCCTAGAGGAATGCTTGGATTTTCACTCTGAATTCCTGCAGATGGAAGGATCATCTCATGTTTAACAGCTCAGTGTATTCAGCAGTAGTAATAGTAAAGCAATACAATATTTTATGTAGCAGATAATAGAAAGAATGGATAAGCCTTACTCTTCACTATTAAGGTACTTTGATGTTTGAATGAGTTTAATTTAAAAATTTGATTCCTTGGTAGTCTAGTCTGTACAGCTAAACATGGGAACTTGAGACTTAGCATAATGAAGCCACTTGTAAAATTCTGTAAAGAGCATCTTGGAGGGCGTGACCTATAGCAAAAATGTTAGAAGTAGTAATGGAATAATGGCAGAAAATAATTAGGTGAAAAGACAGAAATCGTGTATCTTAAGGCGTGTTTGAAGGACAGTCCAAATGCCCTGAACCTGTGTATTTACTGGTTTATGAGAGGTGAAAGTTGTAATTTAAGTTATATGCAGCTGTGTAATCAGCCAAATTGTGAAACACTTCACATAACATTATTTCTGGAATCTGGTAGGATATTAGAGTAACTGCATCTTGGACAAAGGCTCTCATGGTACTATCTTTTAAGAGCGGAGTTCACTAAAGCCAGGAAGGTGTTAATATTTAATTCACTTCTGCAGCATCACTGTATGCCTGGGATATCTTTGAAGGAAAAGACCAACTGATTTCTACAGAAAGATTCTACTGCTTGCGGTTTTGTAACCAGAATGATTAAATATAAAATAAGATAGTTGTTACGCTCTTTATTTATTGTCCTCCTTTTCTCACTCATGAGTAAAAGCACCCGTAACTAATTTTAATGTGAAACCTTTCCCTCTGTATTCTGTCACACTTCATGCACAACTGTAAAACTACAAAATCTCTTGAAATGGGCTAAGCTGTTTCAGCTTCTCGTATCTCTGTTCAGTGGTTTCTGGAGTTGTACAGTAGCTCAGTATTGTCTAGTTCTTACCTCTTGGCTCCCTACTTTCAAATGAGATATTGAAAGTATTGTCAGCGCTATGCTATATGTTTCTTGTGTGTTTCTTGACCTTTGTATAGTTGTCATAGCTTGGCCGATATGAGCTTTTTTCTTTGGTTTTTTTTTTTTTTTTTGAGGTTCTGTAGTACTCATGGTGTGGATGAATACAACATTATGAATTTGTATGTGATGTTAATCACGAGGTCTGATTACTTAGTGCTCAAGATTGTTCTGAAAGTACTTTCCAGTGTTGGCACTGAGTAGTTACTGGAGACAATAAGTAGAAGCATATAGTGAGAAAAATGAAGGCAGAAAATGTAATGTGTGTAATGGGTGGGCTAAGACTTTCTGTAAGAGACATAAAATCACATCAGCCTGCGTGTGTTTCTATGTATTAAACAGTTTAATGCAAAGGATAGGAATGATTTGTGTCAAATACAGATTGAACCAATGTGAGCCTGATCATGTACTAAAACTGCAATGTTCAGTTCTCACTGAACACTGACTACATCATTTCATAACTGCAGGCTTTGCAGTTAGTTCTGTGTATTTGCCAAAAGGTGACAAATCATTAGACTTAATCCATTTACTTGATTTCCTTGGCTTTGTAGGAAATAATTATCCCTAGCCCATATTATATTCAGAGCCACACCTCAAAATCCTTTTGTAAATGTTATTAGCCAGAGCGGAAAAGGATTCTGCTGCAATAAAAGTGCTTTTGTGGATTTATGCAGTAGTCATGGTTAATCTCTCTGAATCGGAAACATGTTAGTTGTAGACCATAGATTACTTGCCTAGTCAATATGAAGGGGTCTGTCTTAGGGTACAATGAAAGAACACTGGCTTGTATTTTAAATGCCAGGATCTTCTTACTCTTCTCACTTTCTAGAAAGCAGTTTTCTGTACTCAGCCTTTGCAATAATCCCTTGTACTGACTAGGGGTTAGAGATACTGACAGCTCTTCTGTCATCAAACTGAGTAAATTGAAAATGTGAGGATATTTTTGCGACTTCTTTTAAAGATGTCTTTTGCAGAAGTTGTCACAGCATTACTGTTGGTTCTGCTTCTCATGTGGATGAGAAGCACAAGAAGTTATTGCACAACTTTGAATAGAACATTAATAGAGTGTATTTTTAGTTAAAACATCAGAAAAAGAATGAATGGACTGTTTACTGCAGTTTTTTCTGGATATACGGACTACTGAGAAACTAAATCCAAGTCACTTTGAGAGGTAAAATTCTCTAAAAATGTTATTTGAATGTACTCTATTCTACAAAAGCTTAATTCCAGTAAGGCACAGCAATCAAGTGTAGTTGATCTGACCCTTTTGGGCAGCCTATGAATTGAATCATATGATATTCAGTTTGTTCTGTATACAGCAGGTTCTCAAAATATGTTCATGTTTCCAGTGCATAGGATGCTGTGTGCAAGTTTGGATGCACCTTCATATGGCATTAGTCTCCTGAGTTAGTTTTCAGAGTTGAGACCACCTTTAGAAGAGCAGTTGTGCTCTTGATTGTGTGTAGTCCGTCCTTAGAGTTTGTATTCCCCTGTGATGGTTGCTCTCTGCATTTACACTGGCTTCCCCTAAGTTGGTTTTACTCAAGGGAGCATAGTCCTACTGATGAAAATCAACACAAGCAGAAGAGTGACAGGGTTAACAGTACAGAATAACTCTGACTTGTGACTGTACTGGTGGTTGAGCGTCTTTGATGTTATTTGTAACCCAGAAAACCTTTAACATGATAATTTTGAGTCTGTATGGGTTTGTGGACATCAAAGCATTTTTCTGTGAGAAATTTCTAGGCTGCTTCAGAAACTTCATAAACAACAGGTACTGCTTACTAGTGCATTTCAACAAGAGACCATACCATCATAAAAATTGGTGCCTTGCCAAACTTTCAAAACATAGACTTTTGAAGTGGGTGTCTCTTTTTGCTAGTCAGGTTTTCTCTACCAGGTACTCACTACTTCTCTAATGGTAAGGTGTCAGCTGAAAGAATGAAGATGCTGGGTTTTTTGAGTAACAAATTCCAATTCTCTTTTTCAAATACTAAGACCTAGCATTACTCTTGTGGAGTTATACTACCTTTGCCATTTTATCCCAGTCTGCATTGCGAAGGCTGAGTGTTGGCTGGGGGACTTGTACTGAAATGACTCTAAGTACATTTCCAAAATTGAAGTTAGGTTGGAGAAAAAGGAACATGCTGTGTTGCTCAGCATATGAGTGGTAATCATAATCATGGGCTTGCTTAAATAGTATTAATGTTTCAATATATGCTAATATATTTAAATAAGTATAATCATTTAAGTCAGATGTAGTTAAATAGGGCAGTAAACTTTCAAAATGTAATTTTGCAGGTTGGAGAGGGTGCTTTTTTTTTTTTTGTGTCATGCAAGGGCATAGGTTCTTTAAGCAGCAGGCAAATACTGGATGTGCTGGAAAATGGACCCTTTCAGTTTTCTTTAAGTTTTTAAATTGGTGTTTTCAGTTAAAACTCAGTTGGGGTTGGAAAGGAAGAAAATTCACCCAGGCTTTTTGTCAAGGACTTAGTCTGAAATAAAATGTGGTGTGGTTACTGTTACTGGATGACTTCTGAGAGCAAGAAAATGTCTCTTAGGGCGAGAAAGCCACTCTAAGCAGTTCTGGTGTGCTGGACCAGCTTGAATTCTATTATTTAGAATATAATTAATTTTAATACAGATTATGCCGTAAAAAGTATATAATAAAAGGAGCAGTTCATCTCTGTTCAAAGTGTAATAATGTAAATCTGAGAGTTCTGGAAACTTTCTTGCTATTATTCCTAGAATGAGCGTGATCTATTTGCCCATTGTAGAATGACGCTGTGTGGTTCCATGAGTGTTATAATGCATGAATGCTGTCTTCAGGGCTTTTTTCTTTTGAATGGAAGACAATAAAGAAACCCGAAGTATGACACTCTAGCTCTGATGTTGTATTTAAGTAGAATGAGTCAGGTAGCTGGGATTTTTTACCTGTCTGTAGAATGTATTGACTACCAGAGGTCCTAAGTAACTGTTTGAATGTGTTTTAAAAACAGCATGAATTTTTATCAACTTACTCTAATTTTTTTCTAAACGTGTTATCAGTTTATGGGAGCATTGTCTAATCTCTGGATAACCTAGTGATTTAAGAATACAGAAAATGAAAATTCATAACTGGCATTCTGCTAATTGGTTCTGACTTTTGTGAAATGTTAACTTCTGCAAAAGCCTTTCAGTGTATATTAAAAATAAGGACATGTAATAGAAATTATTTCTCTATTTTTTAATATTTAATTCGAAGGCTTTTAAAATGTTTTGTGTCCTAGTAATACTAAACTAAGTAAATAGACAAGTAAATACTGCCTTGCAATTTCATTATGCTTATGGCTGCTGTTGTGGCAATTGAGATAAAGCTATTTTCTTCCTGTAGTTTTAGTTTATAGGATGAAACTGTGTAATGATTCATTTAGTTTTCTGGGTTACTTGTGAGACTATAAATGGATAACTTCTGCATTGGTTCAAGATCAACCTCAAGCTCTGATGTCAAATTGTTTGCATTTACTGCTGCAGAGCTTAGAGCTAAAAGAAGATAAGGAATTGCGTTTAGAACATGTTCCTCGGCATCTGGTTCATTATACTGAAATTGAAGATGTCTTCTTCATTTCTTTTTCTTTTGGTTATAGCAAATACAATTTCTGTAACTGAGGAAGTCAAAATGATAAGTGGAATTGGCTGGTAGAGGGAAGGCAAATTAAAAACCAAAGGGCATGCATGTGGAAGGTTCTTAACCAAGTGGGAGCTCTTACCCGACAAATACAGTATTTTAACTAAATGGATGTGGCAGATAAGAGAATGTGATCCTGTTCAGGAGTGTGATCTCTAAATGTGTATCACGGTCATGGTGTTCCTTTTGTGTTGGCGTGAGGGGCAGGGGAAAGGGCAATAATAAACTACATTGAAATATACCCTTGATTAACAGCTTCTGTAAATTCCTATTGACTTGGTAACATTTGTATTTTGTGGGTATATGGCATTTAGTGGAACTTTTTGCCCTTTGTGTTTCAGTGATAGACGTTTGCTACAACCTGCTCAGGTATGTGACATTCTCAAGGGAGTTATACTGGTCATCTGCTACTTCATGATGCACTATGTTGACTACTCTATGATGTATCATCTGATAAGGGGACAGTCTGTCATAAAGCTCTACATCATCTATAACATGCTTGAGGTAAGAATGTTGGCATCAGAATATCAAGCATGCTTTTATTAGACTATCTAAAATGTTGTTGTGTTACAGTATTTGTACTTAGCATATGTCAAATATTGTATTCTCACAAATGTGTACACACCCATGATAAGAAGCCTAGATGCAGTGAAACGGGCAAGTTAGTGAAAAACAAGTTTTGTAGATATTGTTTCATATTGCCTAATTCCTGGAGCTTATTAATCAATTTAGTTGAATGAAAATTGAGAACTGGAAGTGGAAGAAGAAATGTTTTAAACTGAAATGCAAGAAATGGAATGAATGAGGTTTTGAACTAATTGAGAAAAGTAGAAACTATTGATTTGAAACAGTGATAAGATCCTGAGAGAGAGCAGAGAAGGAAAATGGTAGAGGACATGGAATTTGGTTTTTAATTCTTCATTATGGAAGTATAGCTTTCATTGTATGCAAGGGCACATGTTACTGCTTAACCTGTCTCAGTCCTGGCTAGCAGGCAAAAGTCTGAGTACATAGAAAATCAGTTGAATGAATGTAGTGAAACAAGAAAAGTAAATTCTGGTTTGGGAGATAAGATAAAGAAATTCTGGGGAAAAAAATTGTTTCTGTTCTATTAATGTAAAGCATGAGGTTTTTAATTGCACTTCTATGATCAACGATTCACAAAGTAAATAATGTTTTCATAGCTACAATCTTATCTCCACCGTGCAAATATAGGACATATTAGGAATACGACCTCTTAAAAGGACTCAATGAGAGCTTTGTACACAAGAGTTACTCTACTAGGATTCTGGGATCTCTGAATAACATTAATCCTTGTTTGGACATCTGTTGCACCTTTGTTTGAAGACTGCTAAAATGGGGCTACACTTTGTGCAAAATCCAAATATTTTGTCTGAAGACATTTGTTCTTTCCTCATAAAATATGACAATATTGCATAAGGAACACACCATTATCCTAAGCAAAATAAATATCATACAAGCTACCTCAGTAGTTTATTTATAGGTTTTTGTTTCCTTTGATTTTAGATTTGCTGAAAAACATGTGCAAATATTAAATTGGCACTGAGTTACTGTGTGGATTTTAGTTGTGTTGGGAAATATTCATCCATATATAGTTCCATAATCTGTGAGAGATTATCACTTATGAAATAAATCCATGTGCTCAAAATAGTAATTTCTCTATTTCAAGACTACTTCAAGTCACTTCTCTTAAAGCTGAGAAAGTACAGCACTATGTGCTTACCATGTAATTTGAGGAGAGACTGCGGTGTTTGCTGTGAATTGGAAGCCATGTGCCGTTCTGTTCTGAATGAAGAGTTGAGTTTCTTTGCTGTGTTTGGCAGAACCAGAAGTGTGTCTCAACTAAGAACTGCTGCCTGAGTTTTGTTGGTTTTTTGTTGGTTTTTTTTTTTGTTTTTTTGTTTTTTTTAGGAACGGAGAAAGTTTGTTACCACTCATAGTTATTAGAAAAATTACAATAGACTTTGAAGTTGGAAATGGTATTTAATTTCCATAGTGTCTCATGAAACCCACCATGCCAAACAGAGGGCGTGTTTTTTAAGGGGCTTTTTTACCATGGTAGGTCGCAGCCACAGTATTGGCAGAAAATGTCATGGGATCCATCTGAAAGACTTGATTGATAGCCAGCTTTCAACAGTTTGAATATTGGCTTGCTTAGACTACTTTGGTGAATTTTGTTAATAGTCTTTGCTACTAAAGCAAGCAATGCTTTTTAAGGAACTATAAAATAATCTTTTTTTTAAGTAATAAACTTTACGTTTTCACAATAGGAATATCTTTTTAATTTAGTTAAATCACTGAGCAGCAGAGATGTTTACAATGTCCTAATGTTTTCGGCTGTTGACAAGTCCAGGGAATTTTGTCCTGGACAGATATGAGGAATGCAAAATCTTCAAATTATGTGCTGAATGGTCCAGATAGACAGCCTAAGGGGAGCATTCAGCACATTTGGCTTAAATGACACTTTTCTTTTTTAGATTCAGACCCACCGGCTCCTGCTCCTTGTGAAGCCCCAGTGTGCGTTACGCTGGTGACAGCACTCACCATGGAATTCTGCTGGAGCCTGGAGCCGGCATGTAGGGTTTAGGTAAGTCACATATGGAAAAGCAAGCAACAATATTGTGTGGTGGGTTTTAATATTTTCTATCCTGTCAGCTAAGAAACAAGGACTATTTAAATAAAAAGGAAAGCAAAGCCACCATTTTCTCTATTAAAACCCTCACAATATTGTGAACAAAAACTTACCGAACTCCAAGCATTCTATAGTTGGTGTTACTGCACCAGGTGTAGTTACTCAATGGGTCATCACAATGAGCAGGAACCAAATAATGCAGACCAACTTAATTTACAAAATTTAAAAGCCGAAAACAATACCACTGTAAATATCTCTCAAACTGATGGGCTTTTGAACTTCAGATTTATGATAATTCATCAGCTCATGGTTTTGTTCATTTTATTTCATAGGTGATGCTTAAAGAGTAGCATATAATACAGTTTACTTGAGACATCCGGTCAAAATTTGTTTTAATTCAGTGTTCATGTTTTAGGAAACTTTAATAAATGTTGGCTTGAATAAGTTAAAGTATATGACTTCTCTCCCTTCAGTATCTTTACATTTAGAACTCTTAATTAACGAAGTCAGGAAATGATCACAAATCTAGGTTTACTTATGTTGTCCCGAGAACTTATTTTCTAGTCAATAGGTATGGTTCAATATTTGCAGGTATATCGTGCACCTAGTTCTATACTGCTACATGTTGTTTTTACACGTCCAAAATTTTTGTCTTACAGAAAGACAGTAAGAGGAAATATCAGTTGTCTTTATTAAGTAGAGATAATCAGTTTTTCATATTTAACTGTTTCCATTTGGTTGAGTTAGTAAGCAATGAAAGATATTTCTTTTTTTTAGCCAGATATGTGCCTTGTGATACTGAATTTAATTTTTGAAGTGCTATTTTTGTTGTCCTGTGCAGCTTAGTTTTTAAATTACTGAACTGTAGTGTATAGGCAGAAAAAATGTCTTTCCTTGTAATGATCTTCAGTTTTACATGTTTGCTGATGAAGTGTTGAGAACTGGTGGAACTCCGTGTGACCTTTCTTGCTGTGGTATTGAATTACAAGCTCAGATTGCTGTCCATGTTTTTCCTGCCTTATAATTACTGCTAGGGTTTTTTCCTACTTGTGCATATATTCTTTGGGTTACACTGCAGATGTTTGTAGTTTTTTCGAACTAATTTTCCCTTTTTGGCAGAATTTCTAGTCCCTCTTGATCACTTGCTGTTGTGTTATAGTACTTTTAATTTTGAATTCTGCATTATGCAGAGATATATATTGAGTATATGCTTTATTGCAAGATGTAAGGAAACAGTACAGCCAAATCTAATTTCAGTCCTTTTTGTACCTGCAAGCCGATGTTGTTCCCTATCACACATTTGAAATTTACTTTCCATTTTTTTTGTCCCTTATTAAACCCAGAGGGATGGGAAAAAACATTTAGGATAGTTTGATGCAGCATACATATTGCTTTATCAAAGGCTGAAGTTTGAACTGTACATGGATGTCTTCCCAGGAAGCATCTAAGATAACACTACATGGTTATATATTGTAAATACTGTTGAAAAAGGGACAGTAAATTTGAGAGGGAAGTAAGCTGCTGAGTATATGAAAGAAACAATATCACTGTGAAACCCAGAGTGGAAACGGAATGAACAAGGGATGGAAAGTGATAATTATGTGAAGCTTTTTTTAGGTTGAGCTGTACTTACAGTGGCATATTCAAATGTCGGAGAGAAAAATATTGCTTTAAGGCAGTAAAAAGTTCTTCTTGTTTAGGTGGCTGATCGTCTGTTTTCTTCATTTGGACAAGATATTTTGGATGCTCTTTATTGGACAGCTACAGAACCTAAGGAAAGGAAAAGAGCGCACATAGGTGTGATTCCTCACTTCTTCATGGCAGTGCTGTATGTCTGTATCCTTTTTCTTCAACAAATTGCAAAAGTTTCTAAATTAAATTACACAGTAATTGCTCGGCATTGTTTTATTTTAATATATTTGAAAAATTGATGGTATTCCTAAATCAGTGTTCCTTTACTTTCAAAGGAAGATTGCCAGTACTACAGGTTTTTAAAATGAATGAGCAAAACCTTTTAACCTGCTTTAAAAAAAAAAAAAAGCCCTTCATAATGGTATACCACTGCAGTAGTAGAGAGCTTTTTTTAATACCTAATGTGTAGTAAATGTAGTAAAGTGAGAAACAGTAATTGGATAGTTCATGGAAGTTTTGATTTCTGATTTGTATTTGAGTATTTTGGGTCACAGGGTTTGAAGACAGTGGGATTTTGTTATTTAGTGGAACACTACAAACGCCTAGCTTGAAAATATTTTCTTGAAATGAGGGGATACATTCGTGCATATTCAGGATGCAAATAAGTTTAGTGAGAAGTAGCCTTACAGTGAACTGATGAAAATGATCTGTAAAGAGATACATAGTCCGATAGATGTGGTGATGAATTTTAAATTCTTGTACTTTCCTCTGTGTCGTCTGAAATCTTTAGACTAATTCTGAATCTTTCTTCATCTCAGATTTTTTTCCTTCAGGTTGTATGGCTGTTTCTCCTGACTAATGTCATTGGGCTCTTTAGAACAAGAAAAACTAACAGAATTATTACATGCTGCAAAACACTGTGGGTACATTACATAAGTTTAATTACTGTCTTGCTGTAAATCTAGTTGACAGGGAGATAGAAAGTTTTTTTAAAATTTTGGAAGTAAAATAGGAAATTTGAGTTTTGGTGCTGTTCAGTACTGTTGTGCAGAAAAATTATTTCCAAATATGCTTCCTTAACCCTACTGTCTAGTCCTGCATGCTATTCTTATAATGGTTCAAGCAACAACCCTTAATGTGGCCTTCAACTCCCACAATAAATCACTGCTTACCATCATGATGTCCAATAATGTAAGTATGTAGCTTTATTTTATAGCTCCCCTCATTTTTTTCAGCATCCTTCATCTTTGTGTATCATATGTCTATTTGCATATTATTTGAGTGTCTGATTTGTTTATATCAATTTTTAGCAATAAAAACTAACTAACTTTTTTAAAATTGCAGTTCGTTGAAATAAAAGGAAGTGTTTTCAAGAAGTTTGAGAAGAACAATCTTTTTCAAATGTCAAATAGTGGTATGTATAGCTGTGCTAATCAGGAGAAAATGTGAAGTGAGGCTGATTTTTTGGGGTTTATTCATTTATTTAATATTATTGTTAAAACAGCTTGACCTTGGTGAATTCGAGTGCTCTGACTTGAATTCCTCATCTCCCCTATTACTGTTTGGTTCAGTGGGACGAAACTGGGATTCCACTTCCCGGAATGCTGTTTCTTCTTAAATGGCTAGTTTTTATTTGAGGTGCTAAAACAAACTGTTGGCTGTGTGCTAAAGGTATTATTAAATACGACTTTCAGATTTCAGTTATGGTATTCAAAATATCTATGCTTTGAAGTCTCTGAAGTCTTCTCTGTTTTCAAAAAGTTGACTTTGTGGTGTGCTGTGTTGACAGTGATCTCAGAATGCACGTTGTTTGGCAGTTGTAAGGATGGATTTTGAAATACTTTCCCCCCCCTAAAGAATGTAACGATGAAGTAGCTGGCTTATGAAGGAAATACCAGAGATGACTGTAACTTTTGACATGCTAGCAAGACAATAGTATAGGGTACTTAGAAACATGTTATGCTTCTGGCACTTCTTAACTGTGTTGCTACTCAGTGTGAAGTCTGGGAACTCTTATTCAGTGTGTATCATGAAGAAAAGCTGTTACAGGTATCCTTTGACGGAGGTTCTTTCTAACACCATCATCAGCCTTCTGAAATATTTGTCGAAATCTTGGTTTCAAAACGAATAGGAGAGATTGGACTTTAAGGTTGTACTAGAGCTTCTTTGTAATATTTTCTAATCTTTGAACATGACGGTTTCTGTTATTTTGTGCACATGACATTTTTGGTCAGAGCTATTTATACAGATAAGCAAACAAAATATATTTTTTTCATTACAGCTCCTAGTTGTTTAAACCAGAGAACTCAAATGCTCAATAGGTTAATAAAAATAATGTAACTACTTATTTAAAAACAGATGATTCAGATTTTTTTATCAAGAGTTAAACTTTCAGCAGGCTTGCTTCAGGTTTTGAATTCTGGCTATTGATGTGATTTTTCTGTAATTCATCTGCAAACTGCAATGATATTACATGCAAATGTTGATTGGCAATTGTTTTGTGATGCTTTGGATGAAAGACTATTTACATAAAAACTTAAATTAATCACATAACAGAAAAATTAGCACTAAATTTTAATCTACCTCATAGAAGTTCTTAAAAACCCCCCAAAATAATCTTCCCACCCAGGTTGATGAGTTGTTTATTCTGTGCTAATAGTATGTATTTTTGGTTCCAAGATTTAAATACTTATATTTTTTAAATTAAAGGTATTTAACTTTACCGTGAGAACATCTAAAAATGATGTTTACTGAAATATTGACAGAAAACATAGACGAGTTTTCTTAAATTTTCTCTCATTAATCACAATACTCACAGAAAATAGTTATAAGTATGCACCTAGCTCTCCTACTGAAAGGTGAGGCCTCTTTCTTGATTTAAATGTTGAAATAAATGAGGGACTGCTATTAGAAATGGCTGGTAATTTCCTTCATAAAAAGCACCTGCAATAGTATGCTAGAAGAAATGTATATCAATATTTTATTGCTAGACATTATTATTGAAGACCCGTAATAGCAATATCAGGTCTCCCTTTATCGCTTGGTGGAAAAAGTGATGCCATTCATTGTACCATATGGGGATGGAAGCAGGTGAGTACCTACATAGCAGAGTGCACAAAACAAGATAATTTATTCCCTTCAAACAGATAACTTTTCCTGGAATCACTTCTCAGTATGGTTATAAATAGCAGTGTTTTTCTTCACATAGGTAAATAACGTAGACAGGTTCTTAGGAGAGATTTTCACCTCTTTTGAACTTGAACAGATTTACTGCATCACAGCTTCAGTTAGGATGGATCAGTATTGCTTCAGTTCATGTATTTTGATAACTTTGTTATCCTTTAAATGTTTTATATCCTGCAGCTGAAATGGTAGTGCATCTGGGGTTGGCATGCTACGCCAATGCTATATCCTACCCCTGGAAGTGAGGCTAGTCTGGTCCTGTGGACTGAGCTTCCAGTTAGCCTTTGGAGTGCCTTCTGTGTCCTAGAACATATGCTTAAACTGCATGCTTGGACTGAACAAAGCTGCTAAAATAAAGCACTAAATACAGGGTGCCTGATGTATTTCCCACCTTTCTCTCAGTTTCTTCCAGCTGTTTTCTCAGGTCTGTAGTCTCTGCTGTAGGACAATGGCAACAGTAGCTGATTAAGCTTAGACAGACTGAATGGATGCCCCCTTGCCCCACTTTTTCTGGGGCTCTGCTCAAAATATTATTGTTGTTTCAAACATATGGTTTAAATTCAGTGAAAAGGCACTGATTAGTACAGAGAAGCTAAATGTACTAATTCTTGGGGGAGGGGAGATAAGGTCAGTCTCCTAGAGGCATCTGAGGAACTTGTCACGAATAGGTGAAACTCCCTTCTTATTTAACATGTTAATCCAAAGAAAAATATGAACTAGCAGAAAAGTAAGATATCAGTGATCTCAAGAGTAGACATTGTGATCAAGCAAAATTGCTACAAATAGAATTAGAAAGCAAATAATCTTGTGAATAGAAGCATGAAAACAGAAATGAACTGTTTCAGTTGTACTTCGTAAGACATGTCCTATATCATGCATTGAAATACTTTGCAGAGCTCTGCATGGTATTAAAGACACTATGTAGTAAGACACCAGGATGTGAAGTGCCACCAAGCTACCAGTTTAGATCTGGAAATTATGAAATCATTTTCACTTGGCATAGTGCTCAGCACTGGCTTGTGGATAGCAAGATGATGTGTGGCTGTATTCTTTTTCCCAGTATTTCCAGTTCTGGGCTTTGTGTCAGTCAGTGATCCTTCTCACCTTCGTATGGTCATTTAAAATTCTGCTGTAACAGCTAATTCATTAAAACTTTGGGACTAAAAGAACTGAGAGTCATCTACATAAAAACTAATTGAATAGACCATGAGATATACATTGGTTACAGTTATCTAACAAAACCAAACCTGTTATCTTTTAGGTGCAGGAGGTCAGCAAAGATCTTGGGGTTCATATAGCAGCTTGAGATTGTAGCTGCAGAATCCGATTTCAATCATATCGGCTCCTGCAGCTTTGATTTGTCAGCCACAGCAAAACTACTTTCACATTGTCAACCTGACTTTCACTAGGAAATTTGTGTACACCCAGGCAATCTAAACACTGGCCATTGGAAGAGACTCCTATACAGAAGACCTTAGATTTGTTGTAGCAAGAAGAAATATTTCCCTAAACTTAAATGGTATATTCTCTTTTTGATATAGAAATCTGTAAGCTAATTTTGCAGAGTTCACGATTAGTGAATGAGGAGACGAAAATTATAAAGAGAAGCTCTTTCATCATTGTTGAAAGCACAGCATGCTGCCTTCCTTTATGCTTTTAAATGTTTTATTTTAATTTCAAGCTGTGCTCTAAATTTTTCACAAAACACAGTTGTACGTCATCTAAAGTAGTACATTAGGTGCAGTGCGTTATGTTATTTGCTTCAGTTGGCTGTTTGGCCAGTTTATTCCTTGTTTTTTAAATCTCTCAAAAATTTAACATATTTATTCTGAAGCTTTAGGAACTTCCATTTTTTTCTTTGTAATTTCTTACTCTTTTTTTATTTTCTTAATTCTGTTCTTTCTGCTTTGGTCCTGATTTATCAGTCTCTTTGATCAAAATATTGAATGGCCTTTATTTTTACCTTTGGTCTCTGGAATTCAAACTGCTTTCTCATGTGGCTTTAGGGTTTTTTAATACCATTATTCTGATCCAGTTGCTCATTTTAAGGATGAGGGATTTGGGGGCAGGAGTCCATGTAAGATAGATCGGTGCCTCCTTGATGATTCCTTGTTCAGTCTTTGATCCTTTCTTGTGCTCTGGTCACTTGTTATGAGGTAGTTGTCACTAGAGCTACTTCAAATTTGCTGAGATGTAAACCAAGAGATCTTGTTTCACTTCTTACACACCATGATTTATAACCAGCTTTTGATCTAAACATATAAACAGTGGGATTAACATGATCAAAATTATATTTTCCTTCCTGATTAAGGATTCCTGCATGATGTGTCAGGGAATCTGGAAGGAAATAACTAGGTGTTCTATAGACTATTTTCTACCCAGGTGAGTAGAAGTGCCACTTCTGGATCTCTCTCCGTGGGTTCTCACTGCCCTTCTTGTTAGTTACCACTGCAAAGTACCTAAGTTCTTCAGAGTTCAGGTCCTTTCTTAATGAGTTCAGTAATCAATTATTTGGAATGTTGGCTAATTAATTACACTAGTCCATACTAGATGCAGTGCTGTCCTAGGAATATCCTTTATTTCCAATCACATCCATTTCTGTAGTCTTTTACATGTTATTTAAAAGCGATGATGCCTTCTGACACATTGGCAATTAAACTTCGGGTCTCTATTGCTATCAGTCCTTTAAACTGAATGTCTCCATTTTCCAGAAGGATTTATAGAAGAGCAGAATGTGTTCTTAATATGGGCATAGAATTCCATTTGAATTGGAATGGCAGGGTTGATGTAAGTGGGGCTAAGGTATTTAAAATCTGTTTTGGCTATGTGCAATCACAGAACCAATAGGAAAAAAGTCCATCTTGCTTTTTTCCCCTTTTGCATTTATGGCAGTATGCACATTACTGGCTTTGAAATAAGTGTTTACCACCTCTATTCATATGACAACCCTAATAGGCACACGTGACTTATCTTTATGGAAAAAGGTATATTGTGATAAGATTTTGACACGACTACTAAATTTTGATGTACTAAGTTTTGGAATGTCTGATTCTTCCTTTCTCTTTTCAATATACTGAAATACATATTTTAAAGGAAACTGGAAACATTTAATCGTAAGTTGTCATTTGCACCACCAGTGGGTGAATGGAAGCACAAGCAAACTCGGCGTCATCTTTCAAAATAGTCTAAAGAGTGTGTATACAGGAATATATAGTATGATGTGTGGCCAGGCTTCAGGGCCAGCCCTATTAAGAGCAGAGCTTAAGCATGGTATTAGAATGCAGTCTGTGCATGGTACGTGCTGACAAGAGACCAGTCAGCTGGGTAAGGATATCTGAATTAGTGGTGGATGTCAGTTCGTCAACTCTTAGGAGCATAAACAGTGAGAAGGTAAACTTCTTAATGGTGTGCTTGTGGAGGTAGCTGAAGACCGTTTAAAATGTCCTCAGCCTGTTGTTTTGGCTGTCATTTAACCCTTTCTTACAATGGAAAGGGTTATTAAAGCTATACTGTATTCCAACTGAAAAACAGTTTGTGATATGCTTGTCACCAACACTTTGTGCAATATGTTCAAAACTGAGTTGAAATGGCTCATATCAATGTTATTAAGGATTGTCATGATGGAGAATGAAGAACAGAGATCCCTTTTTCTTTCCACTTTACTCTTTGTCATGCTAAAGCAGAATAGAGACGTTTCCTTTTGCCAGTACCTGTGCTCTCTATAACTTTCACAGTAACACTGGTGGCTTGTCACTGTTTCCCCAGATTCACAAATATAGTAATTTACTTTCCCTTTGTTCTTCTTGAAGAGCATGATGTCCGTAAGTGTGAATCTGGGGATGTAGCCGCACTTGTTTGATAGTTCACCACATTATCTACGAAGTGGCAATACATGGTACAGGAAACTCCCCTCACCTGTTTAAAAAAAAATACATGTACATATATAACATCAAATAAGTTCATAATAAATTATGAAACATTATTTGTACCTATTTTGTATTCTGAAATTTTAATTGGGATTTAGGACTGATGACTATTGGTTGTTTGGATATCCTGAAGCCTTTTTTGTCCTTGTCCATGAGGGTGAGAAATGAAATGGATTTCTGAATCATTTGGGTTTACTGTTGAAGGTGCTGTAAAATGCCCTTTCTCCCTTGCTTGCGTCTCTGACAATGAGTTGATGAGAGGGACGAGGATGAAGAAGAGCAGCCGCATTCATTCCTCGCACTCCTTGCAGCCTTGAACAATTGTGGCAGCAGAGATAACAGGTTAGAAGGGAGGCCAGTGAGAACAGGAAAAATAAGCAGAGGGGAAAAACAGGTGTCAGCCTGTCATCCAGTCTCAGAAATTAGTGGGGGGAAAATGTTTATTATTACAGCATAAGAGGAAATTGAAGGCCAAAGATGTCCCTTCTCAATTCTGTCAACTGGTAAGCTAACATATACTGAGCAGGTAATAAATGTCTGAAGGATTGGCTTGAGACATGCTTTAATGTTTAGGCCTGAATTGAGGTCCTTACTTCCCACTTGAGAATTTCCAGCTGTATAGGCCTCCCTGGGATCCGAAGCACTAAAGATGGGATCTCAGTGTTGTGTTACACATTGCTGATCAATGATGTGTCGTGGCAGTGTGGAAGTACGCAATGTGGGAAATATAAGGTGAAACCTTTTTGAGATGTTGGGCAAAAGTCTGAAAGCTCAATGATTACTTTCAAGTCGCTAATGGGTGTGATAGAGAATATAGATCAAGGAATGCTAGACTGCATATTAATCCATTGGTGACAGTGCCAAGTGATATCTCATAACTAGATTAATCAGAAAATAACGTGTTCTGGTAATTTGGGCAGTATTTGGTGGATTCAGAAGCATAGAAGAACATACTTGACTTGTTGGGAGTATTATTGGCAGGAAACTAAGGCGTTAGAGTTAGGACTTCACCTATGTCCTGTTTTTTCTGGTATTTAAATTTATTTTACTGAAGGATTTCCTTGTTTCTTCCCACATACATATGCCACTTGTTCCGTTTTGGAAACTTGTGTTTGCTCTGACCCTTCCCCAGCCCACACTGAGAGATGAGTTCATGTACCCCAAAATGTGCCTTTTTACATGTGTGCGTGCAATCTCATTCTTCTCTAATTCTCTGTGCTTTTCGTTCCCCTCTCCTGGAGGAGTTGTTCTCTTTATGTTCACTTTCTTCAGGCTTGCCAGTATTTTGAAACTTCTTTTTTAAAATAAGAGATATTGTTATACTAGAATATAGTAACTGCAGCCATGAACATTGTTGTTGGTCTGTAGTCAGAGATGATGGAAGCTGTTGACACAAAGTCAAAGTCAAATATGTTTTTGGCCAGCTTGATCCTTGTGTGTTCTTCTGAACATTTCTATTTCTTGTGTCCTAAAACCAGAAGGTAGAACCCTACAGAATATTTTAGGTGCTTAAGGAAATTAACCCTTTGGATTTGGAGATGACTTGCCCACAAAGAAATTACTGTCTTGGTTATTAACAGGTGTAACAATATCTTCAAAGATTTTCATAATAGTCCTGTCTTCTAAAAAGACTTCTGCAGACTTGCTTATTTGTGGTGACAGTATGTTTTAGGTTTTACCCCGTTTTTCAATAATACAATTTCAGGGAGGGTTTTTAATATATTAAGAAAAATGGGAGGCTTCCTGAAGCAAGCTGTATGGGTCACTTCTGGCGATAGGGCACCGAAGTAGAAAAAAAGACCCTGGCTAGTCTGGGAGGGCAAGTCATAGGACTCTGTCTCAAGTTGGACTGCTTTTGTGTTATAGTTCTTATGGTTTTGATAGCTGAGTATCCTGCTGTTCCCTTTTAAGGTGGCAATGTGAAAGACTGGTAGGAACCTTCTAAATAAGGTGTAATAGTTGTCTTGAAACATTCGTTTGTTTGTTTGTTTCCCCTACTACTAAACCCAGTATATAGCAATTTGGATATCTGTGATCTGTAGAAAATGAAATTTGCCTTGCTAATAACTTGGAATGACAGACAGGTATCCTGTCTCCATTTTTGCACCAGGAGGTGCTGGTTCTTTTTGAATCCCACAAGAAATGCACAAGCTTTATCAAGAAAGATGACTATTTTATTAACATATTAGAAAAGGTGAAGTTCCTCCTGATGCTGGGAACCCTGAGTTGATGCAGCATCAGATGGACCTCCAGTCAGGCCACAGCATACTGCAGAGATACTGTCCATGGTGAGGTTCCCAGCATCCCCTCCCCTCAAATCCAATCCAATAATTTGTGGAAAAGATTGTCTAATCCCAGACTTAAAAAATTATAGAACCTCAGAATGAGTAAATATCTATGTATGCAAATAAATGTTTCTTTGGAGTTGACAGCTTTTTTTTTTTTTTATTAGATATAAAGGAGAGGTTCACCAATTACGTGCTGCTACTGATTGTATGTCTAAGAAATATGGAACAGTTCTCATGGAATCCAGGTGAGTAAACTAGTAAAAAAATTACATACAATATGATAAATTCCCATGCTATCAACAACTGTGTCTCTTGCTTCTTTCCTCAATCTGAAAGATAAGAGTAACCAGGACGTTTAAGTGAGGAATCTTAATTTGTCAAATACCTTAGCTTCTCATTTTTCTGTTTCTGGCTTTCTTGTAACAGTGACTCTATCCTTGCTGCTAGAAGTATATGGTGTTATGCTACAAACATGCATAGTTATGTTTCAAGTATTGTCTTGAATGATTTCTTCCCAGCCCTTCCCTTTCCTTGGAGTACATGGAGGATGAAGGATCCCCTAGAGAATTTTATTTTGTGAGACTAGTGAGATCAAAATTTGGTAGAAGATTATGTAAAAATTTCCGTTCATCATTTAATATTGATTATACTTAGTATTTTAATACCATATTGATTAAATATTGACTAAAATTTGTATTTTATTTTATTAAAGCTTTGTTTTAATAATTCTGAGACCCAATCCATGTGGTGTATTTTGCTTGAATGTTACCAGTCTACCTAAATTTTACCTTAAGCATTAAAACCGCAGGTGGTCTGTCTATTCCTCATACATACTGAACATCTACTGTCTAGTACATGCACAGGTGGTCTTCCTAGTAGAAATAAAGCTTTTGTGGTGGGTTGGCCCTGGCTGGACGCCAGGTGCCCACCAAAGCCGCTCTGTCACTCCCCTCCTCAGCTGGACAGGGGAGAGAAAAATGTAACGAAAGGCTCGTGGGTCGAGATAAGGACAGGGAGAGATCATTCACCACTGCCACAGGCAAAACAGACTCGACCTGGGGAAATTAGTTTAATTTATTACCAATCAAATCTGAGTAAGGTAATGAGAAAACACCTTCCCCCCACCCCTCCCTTCTTCCTGGGCTTAACTTCACTCCTGATTTCTCTACCTTCTTCCCCCCAGCGGTGCAGGGGGATGGGGAATGGGGGTTGCAGTCAGTTCATCACACGCTCTCTCTGCTGCTCCTTCCTCTTCAGGGGGAGGACTCCTCACACTCTTCCGCTGCTCCAGCGTGGGGTCTCTCCCACAGGAGACAGTTCTCCATGAACTTCTCCAACGTGAGTCCTTCCCATGGGCTGCAGTTCTTGCTGAACTGCTCCAGTGTGGGTCCCTTCTATGGGGTGCAGTCCTTCAGGAACAGACTGCTCCAGCGTGGGTCCCCCATGGGGTCACCAGTCCTGCCAGCAAACCTGCTCCAGCCTGGGCTCCTCTCTCCATGGGGCCACAGGTCCTGCCAGGAGCCTGCTCCAGTGCGGGCTTCCTGCAGGGTCACAGCCTCCTTCGGGCATCCACCTGCTCCGCCATGGGGTCCTCCGTGGGCTGCAGGGGGACAGCCTGCCTCACCGTGGGCTTCACCAGGGGCTGCAGGGGAATCTCTGCTCCGGTGCCTGGAGCACCTCCTCTGCCTCCTTCTTCACTGCCGTTGCTGTCTGCAGGGTTGTTCCTCTCACACACTCCTCTCTCCGGCTGGCCAGCAGCAGGTCCGTTTTGGAGCTGGCTGGCATTGGCTCTGTCAGACACAGGGGAAGCTTCTAGCAGCTTCTCACAGAAGCCACCCCTGTAGCCCCTCTGCCACCAAAAACTTGCCATGCAAACCCAATACGGCTTTACAAAGTAAAGGCTTTAGAACCTGATCTTAATTGTGGTGGGATTATATAGTACTGGCAAGTTTCTAGAGCAGCAATGGAATAAGCGAGAACTTGGACACTACATGCTGAGTGGCGATGTAAAGTTACAGACTCTTCAGACTCTTGAGGTTTTTTCACTATTGAGCAAAAGTGTTATAATTTTTGTTTTGTATACTGGCATCAAATTAAATGGCCTAACTTGTTTCTTCCCAACCTTCAGATCATCTTTGGGTGTTATTCCCAGATGTTTGCATGGTGGTCGCTTCAGAAATTGCGGTGGATATTGTGAAACATGCCTTTATAACAAAATTCAATGACATCACAGCAGATGTAGGTATCCTGTTTGGAATGCTGAGTGCTATTTTAAGTTGTAGATTATTTTGCTAATATTTTTTTTAAGTATTATAATTGATTGCAGTGCAGAAAATGTAAAAATTGTTATTTTTCATATATAGGTATCATTTGGGAAAGCTTGGTAATTTCCTGGTACAATATACTTCTGAGGATCTTTATAATGTGGAACAAACACCTCTGCTTCTAAATTAGTAGTTCCAGATCCATAAATTATTGGAAGTGTTGTGTAACAGTTCACATAATAACTACAATTCACATAACTGGCAGATCATTTTGTGAAGTGATCACTAGTTAAATCGACAGAAGGTTACTTGTTCTGCAGTCTAGACAGAGCTTGTATCTTTTCCTAACAGAATGGATTGTAGGTTAAAATTCAAGCTTTAGGAAAAACAGATATTGTGAGGCTGCTGAATCTCTGTTCTTGCATGTGTGTTAAAGGTGGAATCTGAAATCAGAGATATATTTTTCCACTGTCCCTGGAGCACTAATATGAAGTAGGTTATGTTAGTTTCCCACTCCTGAAATTTCTTAGGCCATATATATTATGCAGTTCTTCTAAAGTAGTAGATGAGGTTACTTTTTGTGTGTTGCGGCATGATACGTTGGCCATTTGCCTTGCACGTTGTGTGAATTGAAATGCACTTGATAAATTTGTGAAGAGATGAATGACTGTTTTTTCACTATTAAAGCTACTTTTCAGGAAATGAGATCAGAACTTGGAAGTGCTATCTTTTTCAGCATCTCTAAAGTAACTGCATTGTGTGGTGTAGAAACAAGTTTAATGGATGTACTTAATAAGCCCCCTTATGCCAGAGGCATTTATGCATGCCCTACTTTCATATAGAGAGTGTGGAAAAGAGCAATAATGAAGTCATGATAGCAAAAAATGTTGCATGCTTCAGTGTACTGAAACAGCTGGAGGATGGGGGTAGTGAGTGACAATTTTGCAAGGTTTATTTAACAAACTTTCTATTTTTTGTATGAAGTTCTAAAGATTTATGGTTGCTAAGTCAGACTTTTTCAGAAGTTTTGAACACCTGCAGTACAAGTTGCCCTGCCACTTGATCCTTAAAACAGATGCTTTTCTGTCTTAATATGCAGAACTGTTTTAAAGAGGAAAAAAAAAGCTGCATTAATCTTCTGAAACAATTTGCTTTTTTCATGGGATCGCTTGCTTAGTATATAAGTAAGCTCTCTCATTTGTTTAATTTGATCCCAGTGCTACCTTTCATGTAGCTTAAAACAAATTATGAACTGTGGGGAAAAAAGTAACTGTGATTTCTCTTTGTGTTTCTGATGATCCTCAAATTCAGGAAATGCTTTATAAAGTCTCATTCAATTCCTAAAACATAGCGTAGTGTTGTTTGTTGTGTATACATACACAAGTTACTTTATCACAGAAATACAGGCTCATCTGTTGAAGGGTGCAATTAGACCTCAGAAAAACTGGCTTTCACTCCTTCAGCCTGTGCATAAGTGTTTATAATATTTTTACAGAAATATTTTATTAATGTCTCTGTTGCTTCTATAAAGTATGATAACAAATTAATCACACATCCAATATGCTGGATTTTTTCCAGGTCTACAGTGAATACAGAGCCAGTCTTGCATTTGACCTTGTTAGCAGTCGACAGAAAAATGTAAGCCTGAAAATGAAGGCATTTTCTTCTGTTAAGTAACATAATTGTTACAGGGGGGATATTGGAACAAATACTTAAAGATACAGAGCTGTTACACTTGTACAGATCTGAAATTCTACTCTGCTTTTTTTTAATAAGAGATAACAGGAATATTTCCATCTTATTTATGGTCTTATTTTTATCCAGTTGCTCAGGTCACTTTGGGCTATATTTAATACATTGTTGAGAAGTCTCTTCCAAATATACTTTTAGTCAGGGGATGGTTGTAACAACTTTGACATTTTTGAGATCTATTGGAAGTAAGTAAGCTTAACAAGATGTTCTTTAGTTTTAAATTACTGTTCTTTTTGCTTTAACTGTGTTGAATCAAAATACAGTGTTCATTGGGAATTTGTATTATTTCTTCACAGAGAGCATGCACAGATGTATAGGGATGTTTGTACCATGCACATTACTGTTGTGGCATGGGTATTTACAGAACACACAGACTGCTGTGTTTTTCATTAGTACTGTTTTTTTGGAAGACTATTTATGGCACACCTTTCCTGGATGAGTCTCTTAAGTATTAGTGAGCGCTCTGCATGAGTGCTCTAACTATTAACTTTATTATAATAATTTATGTAGCTTTCTTGGGCATGTGTACTAGCTATTGCTAGGAGTGCAGTAGTTATACCTCATAAAGAAGTTAGACAGTTTCAATTACAAATAATTAATTATTAATAATTTGTTAATTAAAGGGTTTATTAGTTCTGAAAACTCCATTACTTTTCCTGAGGATCCTCTGTGGAAAATGAGGTAGCATCGCACAGGCAGTAACTTTGGCATGACATTCAATACTACATGAAAGCTGTCATGCAAAGTAGTTGTGTTTTGACAGTTCAAATGTAAACATATTTTCAAAATTATTTTAACACAGTTATCCTGAGGCTAATTATAGATGTTTGTAGAATGATTTAAAATTGTTAGTGTGGTGGATAATTGTTCTTTTATCCCTGTTATGGGTTTTTCTGTACAGTATTTGAGGATAAAAGTCAAATTAATACAAAAAGGTGTCTAACTAAGCTAGTAATAATGTACAGATGAAATATCATAGCGTGTTTGGATTCGGTGTCCTAATTGCTCTCGATTTAAAGATTTGTATTATACTCCAGTTGGTCTTGATTTAGAGCACTGAAGCTAATCTTACTGGTCATGGTAATATTACATTTTTGTCTGAGGGTACAGCTATCTGCATTTGAATTTCAAAATGTGAATAGGTGCACTTTATACCAGTATAGTGTTTGTTAGCAGAGATTGATTCTTATCTAGAGGGTGTGCCAAGCTAAAATAAGCTGATTCCTTTGCATAAATAGTTCATTATTCTTCCTCTTTTTTTCCTAGGCATATACAGATTATAGTGATTCAGTTTCTAGAAGAATGGGTTTCATTCCTCTTCCACTGGCTGTTTTAGTAAGTTGCATCTTTCCTACCAGTTTTATGTCAATAAGATCTTACTTTGAGAATATATGCCTGTGAGACAGCTAGCTCATTTTGATGTTTTGAGGACGAAATGATCACCTTAAGTAACTGGAATGATGCTGCAATGTTGAGTTAGCATTCAGTATAACCTCTATCACATCCTAATTATGACTTCACGAATGTGTTACTGTTTATCAGCCTGTCATAGAAAATTGAATATATATTAATTTTACAGAATTTATAAGCACTTTAATTTTAGCAGTGGAATTAAACTACATCTGTGCTTATTAAACATTTATTCATTTTGGCAATTATCCTGTTCATTCATTTGGAATAGTCAAAGCAGCTGGTTGCCAGAAGGTTAGCAGCAGTGTACTAGGTTTTTTTAGATTTTTTTCATAGGCGTCCTTGTGGTTGTCCCTGTATTGGTATGCTTAATGACTAAGTTTTCTTTTATATGAAGTACTGAGCTTCTGAGCTGTTACAGAATACATGATTCTGAAATAGTTGACCGTGTTACATGGACATGCTGCTATAAAATGAATCACTTCATTATTGGAATTGTGTCCATATGCTGTCTGTTCTGAATTAACTATTGCAGAATGTTTTCTGTAAGTAGCTGCTCCGACTTTCCCCATACACACATGTGGACAAGCAATAGTTACCGTAATACTGGGAATGTGTCCTTGCTTTGCCAGCAAAGATGCTGATTCATAATTTTCCTGGAAGAATATCAATATGAATTAACTTTTAAATGTAATGTTGTCCCACGGAGATGGGGAAAAATACTGTTGACAGGCTTTGCCTAGTTTAACCCCAAAAAACCAAAACAACTATGATCATAATCATGATTTCTTTTATAACTAAGTAAAGTACATCCAGTGAGAATTCAATTGAAACGCTTTTTTTCAGGTTAATTGTGTTCTGATATGATATCCTGGATACTAATAGGTTTAAAACAAACTGAAGTGCTTTGCTAACTCGGAACCCTAACTGTGAAACACGGAAGTAAAACTGAGATATCAGGATCATTGGTGCTGAAACTTGGGATTCATATGGCTAGTCCACAAAGCAATTTCATATTTAAAATGTTAGCATAGTGAGAAATACTGATTCTGTCTTACTGCATCAGCATTTCTTGACATTTTCCTCAAAAACTGTTAACTCGGCTTCCAGCCGGTGACTTTTAGGGAGGTTTTTTTCACTTGTGATTTTACTCAGAAGTCAGTGGTGAAGGAAACATTATCAGACTGTAGTTTTGGCAAAATTTCAACTAGGTGCTACTATAATACTTATTCAAACCAAAATCTTGAATAGTTAGCACTCCCAAGGGGAACGTTAGAGTAGATTTCTATTAATGTAAATGTTTCTACTTTTATCTTGAATTTACCAAATAAGAAATATCTGTTAAAATATTCTTTTAATAATTGTGTGCTATATGTTTTAACTGTTTAACTTTTATCCTTAAAACAGCTCATCAGAGTCGTAACAAGCTCAATAAAAGTACAAGGAGTCTTAGCTTATGTTTGTGTTGTGCTGTTCTACTGTGGGTAAGTAAATGCACACAATTGAAAAGTATTTACCATTGTTTAATCAGATAAGTGAAAAAAGCTTCTGTCTATACTTCTAGGTATACGAGTAAACACAGTTTATGTTCAGTAGAACATAAATGTAAAACACTTATGCTCATAAACTGAGAGTGCAGACTGGTCCCTAAGTACTGTAACTGCATTGGGGGATTATAGCCCTCAATAAGTAACTTCAGTAATGAAAATAACTAATGGAAAAATGAATGAAAGAATTTGACAGACAAGCACCATACCTCTGCATAAAAGGGGAAATTGAATTCGAAGGAATGAAGCTTTCTGTGAAAAGAATGGAAGATTCAATATGCCAACAAAAATAAGCAGTTTAAGTGCTCTGAGCAGATCATGAATTCTTCTCTCTGGTAGTCACATGCAAGGTTTCTTCGTGTTAGGAAACTGCTATGTGGGGAAAAAAGTAAATGCAAGGCTCGCCTTTCTGGGAAGGGTGGGGTCAGTAAGTAATCTTAGTTAAGGAATATAATGTCCTATGGCAATTTGCTTTCCAAAACCGATGATTTGCAAATATCCCTTCACTGCCAAGTCAGTTTATACTTGTGTTATCCTTAACTTCTCACCAATCGATACGTACTTCCGAGATGCGTTTAGTTGTACTGTAAATCCAGTCTAGTTTGCCTGTCTTGAGGCACTTGCTGTAGACTATATGGCGATGACCGGTTTCTAGGAAAGCTACATACTGAGCTGTGTCAGTGTTTGTGGTCTCTCAGTACTGACTGATGTTGGAGTCCTCCTAAAATTGATCATAAAGAAAGAAGTGATTCAAATTGCCACAGCACAGAGAACCTGCCTACAGTATTGTGGGAATATCTCTTCCAATGCCCTACCAAGTTGTGTTTGTAACTGAAGGCAGCAAGACTTGGGAAGTAAAAGACTTCTAGGTCTGGGGGGTGGTGGTTCAGCA